TCGCGAACAGCTCGTGTTCGGTTCGTGTTCGGCTCGTTCGTTAAGAAACGAACACGAGCTTATTTCAAACAAACTAAATTTTAAACGAACCGAACACGAACACAAGCTTTGTTCGTTCGTGTTCGGTTCGTTTACACCCCTAGGTGAGAGTAGTACTAGGATGGGTGACCTCTTGGGAAGTCCTAGTGTTGCACCCCTCCATTTTGCAACATTTCAAAAAAAATTTTTTTTACACTAACTAGGACGCAATGGAGAAAATTTTTTTTTTTTTAGGCCACATAAATAATCCCCAGAATTATATGAAGTTTACAATAATTTTTTGTTACATCTTTGAGTAAATTGTATTTATAATTGTTCTTAAAATTCAATATAGTAAAAATAAAAGAAAGCTACAAAAAAACATGTCAATTATAAAGCTTATATTTAAGACGTGTTTAATGTTATTTTATTCTGTTTTTTTATTTTCAAAAACGATTTTTTTTTCATTTATTTTGGTTATTAAAAGCAGAGTTATCATTTTACATAAATAGATTAAGTTATTTAATTTTGGCATTCAGAGCACAATTAGTTTTACTTTTGAGATTTAAAATTGTAACTCCTAAAATTTAAACATTCATCATTTTAATGGCAGCCAAATAACCCAAGGAGTACATTTATGAGTAGGGGTGTAAACGAGCAGAACACAAGCCCGTGTTCGGCTCATTTGTATTGTGAGCTCAAAAAGTGTTTTTGTGTTCGGCTCGCTTGCTTAACAAGTCGAGCACGAGCCGTTAACGAACAAATAATCATTTTAACAACCCTAATAAAATAATCATAAGATGTTAATGATTGAGACAAAATTTAAAACATCATTTGAATCTAAATTAATAATTTTTATTCCATTTTCTTCATCAATACTTTTAATTGATCTTTGTAGCCTTGTAGTTAATTAAATTTTTTAAAAATACTATCAACAAAAAAAAAATACATATATAATTGATTAGTAATATTTCGAGCCAAAACGAGCCGAACAAGTATATACTCGTGTTGTTCATGTTCGGCTCGTTAACTTAGTGAACGAGTCAAACACGAGCTTCTTAACACGTAGCCATAAGATGTTCATGTTCATGTTCGGCTCGTTAACTGATTTCAAGGAAGCACAATATGCACATAGAAGCAGTACATTAAGCAAATATCACTCAAATAATCAACCATTTTCCTACTTACAATCCAGTAATCACATTAAAAAAAAAAAAAAAAACCTTATTTCATCCTCAGGCAATCCATAAAACAGACAAACCTGCAACAAACACATTCCCAACAGCTTGATGATAACACACAAAAATTGGCAATAAATCAAACTAAAATTTTAATGCATCATGAATGGATATATATATATAGATATAGATATATATATATATAAATCTTGGATGTCAAGTTGTGTAACATTAACTAGAAGGAGCTCCACTGATCAGTGTTCTTCTTAGGGTTCTGGTTCACTGAGGTCTTGAAGACCCCGGATCCGAAAGGGTCCGAATCATCGAACGAGAATCCATGATTATAACCCGCCGTGCTCCCCATGGAATCGAACCGAGCCAGGGTTTCGCGGCGAGGTTCGGCGGTGCCGATAACGGAATCGAACCTCGAGAACTCTCTCTGTGAGTCGGCCGAGCTGCGGAAGGAATCGAATCTGGAGAAGGGGTCGTGCGATTGATCGGTTGTGCTGCGCATCGAGTCGAATCTTGTCAGGTTTCCGGCCGGAGGGAAGATGCTGTCATTCGTGTTGAATGAATCGAATCGGCTGAAGGTATCGAAGGAGCGGTCGTCTGCTTCGTTGAACTTGGGAGAGAAGCCGGAGTTGAAGAGAGGAGTGCTTGGGACTGAATCGAAGAATGGGCCTTTATCTCTCCCAAAAACACTGGATGCGCTGGGTGAATCTGTGCCGAAGGAATTCAGGGCAAAGTCTCCATGGCCGGGGAAGGAGTCCAGCCTGCCGGCATCATGAAAGGCTTCCTGCGATTTCAAGTCGAGTTGGAGAACAAAATCCAGTCTTAGGAGCTCAGAAATTATTGTCAAGATCTAAAGGATCGAGTCCGGCTTACATGAAAATTTAAATTTATATGCAACTTTTTTTTATTTTATGGGAAAAGTTTAAGAATTTAGTGGAATGTATGTAAATCTTCCAATAATAAAAAAAAGGGGACATTTACATACATATCAACCAATTCCTGTGTGTTTACATTTCAAACATTTAAAATTTATTTTTTACATTTATACCACCCAAATCGTTCAGATCACATCAACAAAATCACCATCTTTAACTTTCAAAAAGTTGAATACGCTTTTTCATGCATCGGTAAGGCGGCATATACTTAAAAATTAAAGTTTTGGTGTTAGATGTCTAAATACATAAGAATTGAGTGGCAAGTACGTAAATCTTTCGATAATAAAATAAAAGGGCACATAAATACCACCCAAGACCTAAACTTTAATCTTTTATATTGATACCGCACAAAATTTTCATACCATATCAACTTTTTAAAAATTAAATACTTTTCATGCATGGGTAAGGTGGCATGTATATAAACATTAAAGTTTAGAGGTTAGATATGCAAATACATAGGATTTGAGTGGTGTGTATGTAGATCTTCAAAATTATAAAACGACTATTCACAATCTTAAGAAAATAAACAACTGTGGCAATGATTTGTTACCACACATAAAAATGTGAGTAAAGCAAATCATATGAAACATATTTTCATCAACAATTCACCTAAAAGTCCTTATAAATATGATCAATTAAGAATTAAAGAATGCGAGAGTAGAATAAAAATCATTAGAATTAAACATTGAGCTGTTCACCTTTGTCTTGATTGGTTTGAAACCCCAAAGAGAATCATTGTCATCAGTGTCAAAATTTGCACCCCAGGTTACCTCGTCAGCAAACTTTTCTCCGGATATGGTGGATTCAAGATCATCAAATTCACTGCGTCGTGAACATACAGGTAAGGAAATCATATTACATATAAATTGTATGAGAAATGAAATAATTTAACATAGACAAACAACATCCAAGCACTTTAAGATGAGAAGATAATCACAATACAGGATTCGACACATTCAAACTAACAAATACATGATGAAATTTGCCTACTATACAAAAATAAAGTCAAGATTTTGCTTCACACACACACACACACACACACACACACACACACACACACACACAATATCGAGGAGATACTTTAGTTGAGTAAGAAACATTCAAACTTCCCTTAGTAGTCATCCAGAGCTCCAATTTTAACAAACTTACAGTCAAATTTACTGCATCGACAAAATGGACCCAATGGTACCAGAATTAGTCAAATCCGAGCCAAATCAAGCCACAATCAAGCCATTAAACCGTTTTTGAAAGATTTATGAGCATATTTGAAAGGTCAAATAGATGTAAGATTTAACGCGCTTATAGTCAAATTAAACGTCTTGATAAAATGAATCCAACGAGTCCAAAATTGCTCAATTCCCCATCATTAAGGCACTCAAATGTCCATCAAACACTGTCCGATCGAGGAAATCTTTCTGGGCTATTCGACCAGAGTGGCTTGGATTCCTTCCTTGAATGCAATTGAAAGTCTATAGATAGAGCCCTACTCCGCTCATGAGAGGAGACTTGGAGCAAAAGTTGAAGTTCAACATCACTTTTACACCAATGATCCGACGAACGCCTCCCGCTCCTGCAGTCATCAGCTGTCGCCAACCATCGACGACCACCACTTGTCGATCGACACCCACTCCTTGCGATGAAGCATCAAAGTGACATATCATCCCAGACGATATTTCGACCCCAAAGACGGCGCATTGGAGCACCGACTATTGCTCCTCCTTATGACTGCTCTCTACAGCAGGATCACAAGTCCTTTCGCGCACCAAGGTTGCAACTTGAGAGGTTTTGTAATTCATTCTCGCATGTGGGACGAGATTGTATTGTACCTATAATTGTCAGTTTATACTGAATTTCTTCAGCTAAGCTAGACCCCGTGATTTTTTCTTTTCGGGTTTTCCACGTAAAAATCTTCTGGTATTTCTACTCATCATTTCTATTACCTAAGTGTGTGTTGTGTTCTCGTGCAACGCTAAGACATTAGTTGGCTACTCTTTCGTCGTGGCTTCTTTTGCATGCTTCAGTTTGGTACGGCTTGTGGGAACATTAGCAACAAACGAAGCACCCGCTCTAACATCCATCATTCCAGAGGGCAGTTACGGAGACTAAGGTGTCAGGCCTCAATATATTCCCACCCTGGAAGGCATTGCCCTGCAAGCGAAGGCGCCTCGGGTCCTTCTTTAGAAGACCAAGTATGTAGGATGGAGGAGTCTCAACTGGAGTTTCTACACCTCCTACGTGGGGCTCGACAGTCGCTACCCGATGAAGCTTACTTAGCATTGGTTCAACAACAGAAAAGAGATGCGCCACTCCAAAAATACTTGTATTAGACCCCCTCCTCGCGAGGGAACCTATCCTCTGTCAAGTCGGAATGCTGACCTCTAGGATACTACAAGCTCCACTCATCTGTCTCGCGCAGCTCACTTGGCACCACCCGAACTTACTGTCATTCCTAACGATGTCATCCGCAACGATCTAATACGCCTGGTTCAGTAAAAGTTTCCTTTCGAGAAAAGGGATCGCTTCCCTGCTAGCCGCAATTTCTAAGAATCCTCTGCTTTAGTGAAGGTGGTCCTCCAACACTCCATCCCAACGGGTTTCAAGCTCTCGAACATCTACGCCTACGAAGGGGTTAGTGACCCATACAAGCATGTTGACCACTACTGAACCATCATGTACATTCAACATGCCTCTGAAGCACTACTATGCCAAGTATTCCCGGCCACTCTCAACGGTCAAGCTCATCATCAAGGATTCATCCCATCTCTCAAGAATTTGTCGGAATGAGGGAGAGTCGCTCAATGAATACTTCCGTAGATTCTCCAATAAAACTTGCCAGATTTCGAAAATGGATCCAGAGTTGTTGAGAAGGGTCTTCCTTGGAAGGCATCACCAAGAAACTTTCAAGTCGTCACTAATGCGAGAAACAAACCGCTCCTATGCCGACCTTGCCAAATATGTCGAGGCCCAAATCACTACAGATGAGGTCATCAACACAGAATTAGTTCTCACAGTAAATTGCTCAGGAAAGCAAAAAATTAACGTTAGAGATGCCAATTTATCTTCACAGTGAAGAAAACTCGAATAACAGAGGAATCATGACCTCCCTCCCCGACCTACAAGACAACGAAGTGAATATCCACCCCAAAAAGAGTATACACCGCTCAACACATGGATGCCAATTAATCTTTCACAGTGAAGAAAACTCGAACAACAGAGGAATCATGACCTACCTCCCCGACCTACAAGACAACGAAGCGAACATCCACCCCAAAAAGAGTATACACCGCTCAACACATCGCGCGTTAACATCCTGGTGGCCATCAAGGATGAAAAAACTATTAAGTAGCCTCACCCCCTAACTCGGGGAATCAAGAACAATATTGTCATTTCCATCGGAGTCGTGGCCACACCATCAAGGCGTGAAAGCAACTTAAAGAAGAGATTGAAAAGCTGGTTCAACATCATGACCGATTTGTGCAGAACAAAGCAACTGGTACCGATAATGCTCCCACTGAGGGGCAACAGACACAAAAGCAACAACATGAGATGTGGGAGAAATTCAGAAAATTGTCGGAGGTCCATTGCTGCCCGACTAGGTCCTTATCACTGCACCTGGAGAACCAGCGCAGAAGAAACCGCACTTTGAGCCCATCACTTTCGATCATTTTAACCTGGAAGAAGTCCAAATACCCCACCAATACCCTCTCGTCATCAACACATAAATTAGAGAACCCTATTACAATGTGAAGAAGATCCTGATCGATAATGACAGCTCTTTCGATGTCTTATTTTACTCCACTTTCCTCAGCCTGGGACTGACTAGGGACTTCTGGGTCATTCTACAGTTTTGATAACCGACCGATAAGAGTCGAAGAACTGATAAATATCCCCATTGTTGTGTAAGATTTTCCTCAGCAAACAACCCACTCAATCTAGTTTATCATTGTTAAATCAGAATCGACATACAATGTCATCTTCGATAGACCCTTGCAGTATCTTCAACATCGTGACTTATGTGCCACAACTCAAGCTCAAGTTTCCAACCCTTACAGGGATAGGTGTTGTGCGCGGAGATAAGCAAATAGTGCAATTATGCTAACCTTGGACAAGCCCAGGCGTGCATCAATGACACTTAGTATCAAAAATTTTGATCTCCGAGATGATGATATACCCCGACGAGCTTCCCACAAAGTAGACTTAATCCATGTTCCGCTCTCCGGTGACCATAGTCAAATATGTGGGTCTCTTCTAAAGGAACCTAGACATCTTCGTACTAAGCATAATCATGCACTCTTTAAAGGTGAATCTGACCTTCAAACCAATCATCCAGAAGAGCGCAACTTCGCCCTAGATCGCCTACCAACCATCGAACAGAAAGTCAACAAGCTTCCTGAGGCAAGGTTCATAAGGGAGGTACATCAACCTCATGGCTAGCCAATCTTGTGATGGTTAAGAAAGCTAGCAGAACTTGGAGGATGTGTGTTGATTATACTGACCTCAAAAAAGCTTGCCCTAAGAATAGTTTTCCCTTTCCATGCACACAACTTGTTAATGCCACATCTGGACACCAGATTTGAATTCTTGGATTTACTCACAATCAGATAAATATGAACTCGAGAGACAAGGAGGTGACCTCTTTACAAACACAAAAGGGCTATATTGTTACCAGGTTATGTCATTTGAGTTAAAGAACGCCAGTGCAACCTATCAGCGCCTCATGAACAAGATCTTCTCGATTAAACAATGGAGGTGTACATCGATGACATGTTCGTGAAAAGATTGAAAGTGTCTCCACCCATCTCTCATTCGGAAGAATGTTTCTGACTTCTTTGTCTGTACGACGTGCACCTCAACCCAACTACCTCAATAAAGCTTGCCCTAAGGATAGTTTTCCCTTTCCACGCACACAACAACTTGTTAATGCCACATCTGGACACCAGATACTCGAATTCTTGGATTTACTCGAGATACAATCAGAAAAATATGAACTCGAGAGACAAGGAGGTGACTTCTTTCCAAACACAGAAGGGCTATATTGCTACCAGGTTATGTCATTTGGGTTAAAGAACGCCAGTGCAACCTATCAGCGCCTCATAAACAAGATCTTCTCGAGTAAACAATGGAGGTGTACGTCAATGACATGTTAGTGAAAAGACTGAAAGTGTCTCAACCCATCTCTCATTCGGAAGAATGTTTCTGCCTTCTTTGTCTGTACGACGTGCACCTCAACCCAACTAAGCGCATCTTCAAAGTCACATCAGAGATGTTTCTGGGATTCATGGTTACTTATCACAGAATTAAGGCAAACACATAGAAGATCAATGCGTTGAGAGACGTGGTGCACCCAAGGAACATCAAGAAAGTGCAGCACTTGAACGGTCGTATAACCGCCCTATCCCGCTTCTTGGCCCGTTCTAGCGATAAATATATAACGTTCTTTAAGATAATGAGAGGTGCTCGAAACACTGATTTTCAATAGACAGATGAACGTCAAGTTGCTTTTAAGCAGCTCAAGACAGATATGACTTCGCCGCCCCTCCTTTTAAAAACCCATCCAAGAGAAGAAGTTGCATATCTACATGGTTATTTCACCTCACGCGATAAGTTTTGTCCTAGTCAGGGAAAAAAACTCGATTGAATGGTTAATCTACTACGTCAGCAAGATTCTCTCCAACACAGAGACTCACTACCCGTTGAAGGACAAGACCGTGCAAGCCCTGATATTCTCAGCAAGAAGACTATGTCCATACTTCCAAGCCTACACCATAAACGTCTACACACAACTAGCCCTAAAAGCCATCCTGCAAAAGCCAAAAACATTGAAAAGATTAGTAAAATAGTCGGTAGAATTGAGAGAATTCGACATCCGCCACCTACCTCGACCAAACATCAAGTTGCAAGTGCTAGCCAACTGTGGTCGGGTGCACCATAACGGTCTCCCGACGAGCCTCTGCTTTCTCCCTCGACGTCACCTCAATGGACACTATATGTGAATGGAGCATCCGAAAACTCAGGATCTGGTGTTGGAATACTGCTCATCTCCCCAAAGCATGACATCATGGAGTATGGATGTCGCTTGAAATTTATAGCTACCAACAATGCCACAGAGTACAAAGCCCTCATTGTCGAAATAAAACCCATCATCAACTGTAAGGTGCAAAACCTGATCATCCACACTGACTGCCAGCTCGTCACATCACAAGTTGAGGGTGGCTTCGACACCCACAACTCACAACTAGTGCAGTATCTCAGTCTGGTGAAGACACTTGTCGCCCAAATCGAAACGTACCAGATCGTTCACATTCTTCGAGAGCAGAACACCCAAGTCGATGCTCTCTCCAAGCTCATGACCTCAATGACCGAGATCTTTTTTTAAAAAAAAGTTGCATCGAGGAGATATATTTTCCCAGCATCCAAGGCCCTTGGTTGATACTCCCTATAGATGAGTTGAAGGAGCCACCTTGGATGGAACCCATTAGCTTCTTCCTCTAAGACAAAATACTAATTGATGATGTTATTGCATCAGTTTGCCTCTGATACATGGCCGCCAATTTCATCCTTATCATGGTCGAGCTATAAGAAGGTATTTTTACGTCCATACCTCAAGTTTCTTACCCCATTTGAAATTGATTACACTCTGCGCGAGATTCATTCCAGAACATGCGGAGAGCACCTCGAGGGTAGCCCTTAAAATAGTGAGACAAGGGTACTGGCCCAAGATCAAGCAAGATGCACTGGACTTCATGCAAAAATGCAAAAGTTGTCAATTACATTGTAACCTTACGCAAGCACTACTAGTAGAATTCCTGACCTTCTGCCCAATGAGGGTGGACATCATGGAACTGCTTCCAATAGCTACCATACAACGAAAGTTCAACATCTTAGTCGTCAACTACTTCACCAAGTGGGTTGAAGCTAAGCCGTTCGTCAAGATCATGGAAGCTAATGTTAAGCAAGCCTCCTTGCGAAGATTATCACCGATAATGGAACTTAGTTCTCTGGGAAGGTCTTCACATCTTTCTGCAAGGATCTTCATAGCCAACCGATACACACTATCGCGGCAAACCCTCATACGAATGAGCAGACAAAAGTGACAAATTGAACCATACTTAAAAAACTAAAGACTAGCCTCGAGAAAGCTGGAGGGGGCGGTGGATTGAAAAACTCCACAATGTCATCTGAGGACCTTTGGAACTTCAACAAGAGAGACACCTAACAATCTATGATTCAGAATGGAGGTCGTTATCCCTGTTAGCATTGGGGTCCCAAATCCTCGAGTTCATGCCTTTAACCATACGTCAATAAGGAGGAACTTCAACTATAATTAGACCTCTCAAAAACATTTGATATTGCCCACCACAAAGTTGCCTTTTACCACTAGAGTGTGGCCCGCCACTTCAACCAAAGAGACAAGCCTCGACCTATTTTAGTCGGAAACCTGGTTTAGCTTAGTTTTGAAGCCGATGATCGTGGCCCGCAACGCAACAAACTCACTCCCCCACCCTCCCACTGGAAAGGCTCGTACATTGTCTTTGTCATGATCAAGCATGGAACATTCAAGCTCAAAGAATCAGAATGTTATAAAATGAAATTGAAATGTGGAGATTCTTCATAAATACTATTAGTGATAGTCCAGTCACGCAATCCTTATTTCCATATATGTTGTTCCTTTCTTTCACGGTGGTTGTGTCTGTTGTTATCGACGTTGTTTTTTTTCCCTTTCTAATAATTATTGTATCTGCATTGGGGTATTTGTTTTGTTTCCCTAGTCGCATCAATGTATCTCTGCTTATCAAATGAAGATGATTCCTCACCTTTCCTCCATATGAATGGCACATCTAGAAAATACAATTGTTCATTTACAAGCCACTTCAAGCTTTCGACTCGAGAAATACGCAACCGCTGTTGCATCTTAGTTCGAGCGCGATTAGATCCAACTTCTTCCGAATAGGTTAACATCATCGAGTTTTACTCTGATATATAAACTTTGATAGGTTAAATTTCATTGGCGGACAACACCCAACACCCAATTGTGTTATAGGATTGATACCTTAACAAACGTGGGAGGTCGACGGGTCAGAAGAGAGCAGACTGAAACCAAGCAGCTTCATTAAGTGTTCCATTTCACTTTTAAAAGAAATAGAGGATTCTTGATTGTTTTGGGTAGAAGCCGACTGTATTGTGTTGGATCCAGATGTCGTAGCAAGGTCCTTGGCAGCGGACGATTTGGTCAAAAGTTTGGATGCAGGTTTTCCGTTGAGCTTCCAACACTTATCATGAGTGTGATTGCGTTTGTGGCAAAAAACCACAAGTGGGGTGATCAACCTGGGGTTGAGCACTATTAGAAACCAAGGCGGATGCTTCGACAGCGGAGTGGAAGTACTGTACATTACAAATCTTCAGCTCTTTTCGTGACAAATCACAGTGAAAGAAGTGCGAGTGGAAGAAAGAGAACCCCGACTAAGGATACGACTCTGAACTTCGTTAAGATCTTTGTTGAGACCTACTAGAATTGGAACATATGCTCATTTTCTTATGGAAAAGAAACAAATAGGTCGGAGATTCCCAAGCGTAGTCATAATATAGCTAAATCATTATAGTACTGGGTTACGGTCATGAATCTTTCTTTTGCCTCACTGATTTTATTAGATATTTCATAGAGTTTGTTGGAATTCCCTACATTTGAGTAGGTATCACAGGTTGTCGTCCAAAGGGCACTAGTTGAAGACCAATAGAAGTCTTCATGGAGTTGATCAGTCACGAAATGACTATGAAATTCTCCACTTCGAAAGCTCCATATGATGGGTAGTCTTGGTTCACAAGTCACACTAATAAAATGACCAAATTTCCCACGCCTTTTAATGAACAAAGACACATATTAAAACTATTGGAGAAAGTTATTGTCATTTAGTTTATGGGCTGTAATCAAGAAGTTCATGTTGTTTTCTTGTACTCCAACCTGCAGAGGAACAAAGGTTGGAATTTATCCTCCGTTTTAGGGGAGTTCGCCATGACTATGATTAATCCAAATGAGATGCTAGGTTGTCAAGACATTGTAAAGTTCCGGTTACTGGAAAAATATGGCTCCGAAAGGGTTCTCACTGAATTGGGTTGGCTAAAAGAAGGTTCCAAGAGGGGTTCTGGCACAACTGGAGGGAGGTCAGTTAGGCAAGGTTTTCGGTGGCTGGAAGGTGCCCAGGTGACTCAGAACTCAACGGACAACAAGTTTTGGGCGGATTGTGAAGCAGACAGGATGCGGCAAGATCTGGGCGTAAATGGCGGGAAACGTTCTTGAACATTGGCTCGAATTAGAGATGAGGTAGATCTGACGGGAAAGATCTGGTTGCTCGGATCATAGGAGACGGAACCCCGACCGACTCAATCAGATGTTCGAGCAGAATAAAAAACAGGACCTGAACTAGCCAGGCGGCAGCTAGGTTAGGGTCATGACTCTCATAATATGTTAGAATAGAACCCATGATGCTTCTTATTGATGCAGAGAGGGGTATAAATACCCATTACAGGATATACTAGTAAAGAAACATATAAAAATATAAGAAAGTAATAAAGGAAAGTAAATAAAAGCAAATAAAAGTAACTAATATATAATTCTATTTTAATTAATATTCTAATAAATCCAGCATTTGTTTTTAAGAAAAGCTGAAAGAGTGAAGTTATTTTAATTCATATTTATCAAGTTCCAAGTTCAAATCCAAATTAAACATTAAAAAAAAGGGTAAAAATCAAATCAAAATGATAGCAGTGGAAGCATAGCTGGTATATGGAGGAAGCACAATTCCTTTTAAATCCAGCCAAGAAAGATTAACTTAAGTATAGCTACTGCCCAACCAGACCCATGATGATGTCTAATCAACTACCAAAAAATAAAATCTCTCTCCAATGCCCGCTGCTAATATAGAAAAGGGGCATTTACATACATAGCACACAATTCCTATGCATTTACATATCTATCACCTAAACTTCACTATTTACAATTATACCACCCAAATCTTTCATATCACAAAAAAATACCACTATTTTAACTTTCAAAATGTAAAATCTACCTTTTCGTTCATAGGTAAGGTGGCATATATGTAAAAATTAAAGTTAGGTTTCAGTTGGGTAAATAAATAAGAATTGAGTGGCATGTATGTAAATCTTCCTAAACAAAACAACACCCAATAAGCTCTTACTCTTTCATACTTCATAAAAAGTTTAGAAAAACTTTTAGGCATGCCATATAACTAAGAATGCGAGTCAGTGTTAACACAAGTTTGAAAACATCTTAGGTAATTAAAAAACATGCATACTCCAATTATTAAAAGACCAGTACTGTTATAGATGAACAAAAGCACCCTTTCATTCATAGGTAAGGTGAAATATATGGAAAAATTAAAGTTGGGTTTTAGTTGTGTAAATAAATAAGAATTGAGTGGCATGTATGTAAATCTTCCTAAAGAAAAACAACACCCAATAAGCTCTTACTCTTTCATACTTCATAACAAGTATAGAAAACATTTTAGCATACCATAAAACTAAGAATGCGAGTCGGTGTTAAAAATAACACAAGATTAAGAACATCTTAGGTAATTAAAAAACACACATGCTCCAATTATTAAAATACCAGTACTGTTATAGATGAACAAAAGCAAGCTTCCCATACCTGTGATGTTCTTTTGCATAAGCCGGAGGTGAAAACGTAGATTGAAAATCTCGAGATGGACTTTCGATTGTACTTGTTCCAGGACTAACGGCAGGGCTTCTTACCGAAGCATCTTCACCATGCACATTAGACAACTCAGCTTCAGTTAAAAGCACTCTGGTGCTCGAAGGCTTGTGAACTTCACCCTCTACTTTAGATAATGATGCTGATTCAGCATCTTTAGCGGCTTTTTCATTTTCATTCTGTTTTATTGTGGTGTCTGGTGCTTCAACACTCGTGACAGAGGCGGTCTTCAGTTTTTCAGGAGCAACGACATTTTCCACTTCGAGGGTAAGCTCCCTGATGATTGTAAAACCTAAAGAACACGTTTGAGAAATTCTAATAAAACGAGCGCAACAAATAGCTCACGTAATTTAAAAAAAAAAGGCATTTACATACATATCACAGAGTCCTTATGTATTTACATATCTACACCTAATTATTCCTATTTGCGTGCATATCACTCAAAACTTTAACATCACATAAAAAATAACACTATTTAACTTATTAAAAAATAAAATACACCTTTTTCATGCAGAAGTAAGATGGCATGTTGTGTAACATTTGAAAGTTTAGGCATTAGATATGTAAATACATAGGAATTAAGTGGTATGCATGTAAATCTTTCTTAGAAAAAACGAGAGAAATAAGAAGAGGACTAGAAAATAATAAAAACTATTGGGACTTACCTTTAAAAAGATGAGAAAAAAATTCTAATTATAAGAGTTTGGAAGTCACTTTCAATTTTGCTATCCCATATATTAATCATTAAATAACATGCAAAGATCAATTACACAAATTGGGTCCTAAAATGACTAAAATAATTGAGATAATAATAAATAAAGTTTAGCAAGTAAAATCAATTATTTATCATCTGATAATTAGGATTATGGTGAATATAATTAGCTAAGGTTATTGAGATTAATTAAGCTAATGCGTTATTAAATGAACATAGGATAGAAAGTTATGACAATTCATAAATAGATTAACCAGGGTAATTAATTGCTGATTATTTATTAAAGTAATAATTTATTCTATTTATCCTACAAAGTTTACTGTAAGAATTAATTATTCCAGTTAAGTAGGTATTAATTTTAAAAAAAATATTTCACCAATTGATTAACAAATTCAGTCGTTGATTAGTGATTATGATGACAAGTTGTTTTTAATTATTAATTAATTCATTCATGAGAAATTTCATATAGTTACATTTTCTAATAAGTCATAATAATTGATTGATTATTAATTATGTTAATAAAGTAAGTATTAATTAATGATCAAGCTATTAAAACAAAGCTAGTAGGTTGTACGTGATAATGGCCAATGAATTTGATTCATGAGTAGACCAGGATAAATATAAGTTGTTTTAGTTTATTTTGGATTTTAATTGATTAATAAACTTATTAGCACAAGAGCTACCCAGGTATAGGTTAGCTCAAGGCTTTATATCCATTGAGAGGTCTAAGTTTAACCGAGATTGGGCTTACATGCATCAAGACGTTGAATTTTGAATGATGGGTTTATTAGCTTTATGTTGAATTGGATCAATTGGATTGGGGCTTACATCCATTTAAAGAACCAACTTTTCGGGACTTGTTGATCTGTTTACAAGTTACCTAAAATGTTGCAACTTCTAACCTTATAATATGGGCAGGCCCGGATCTCATGACTTATACTCAAATATTAAAGTCAGCTCAATAGTTTGTCTTATGACCTTGCATTATAAGAAAGGTGGTTCATTGGTGATAATGATTTGATTTTTGATAATACATATTTTAATGTACAAATTAAGGCAATGACCCACTAAGATCCTTGGATCAACAAAAAAGTATCGTGATCAAGCTTGGGTATTGGTCTGCCTATTTGAATAATTGAGTTGGTATTGAATATATTTGACATAGGGCCCTAGGAAGTGTTATAATAGGCTGGCTCATATGAGGATGTTTTGTAATTTATCATCCCTATGATAACGCTATAGTTCATATTGGGTCACTTGAGGATATATCTGAAGCCTTTTGCTGAGTTTAGCACATAAAATATACCACTATTTAATTTTAAGAAAAATGAAATACCCCTTTTTCATGCAAAAGTAAGGTGGCATGTAATGTAAAGTTTGAAAGTTTAGGCATTAGATATGTAAATACATAGGAATTAAGTGGTATGCAAGTAAATCTTTCTCCGACAACCGGGACAAATAAGAAGAGGACTAGACAATAATAAAAGCCATTGGGGCGTAACTTTAAAAAGATGAGAAAAAGGTCTAAATTATAAGAGTTTGGAAGTCGGTTTCAATTTTGCTATCCCATATATTAATCTTTAAATAACATGCAAAGATCAATTACACAAATTGGGTCCTAATATGACTAGAATAATTAAGATAATAATAAATAAAGGTTAATAAGTAAAATCAATTAGTTATCATCTGATAATTGGGATTATGATGAATTCACTGACACCATTAATATTTTTACATCATCCATATGTATATATGCATAGCTTTAAAAGCAAAGCTACTTTTTAAAGCAAATGTACACGATGAAGTTGAACTAAAATTGAACAGACTTGGACATTACGCCTACTGAAAAATTTGTATAAATTTATGAGCTGCTTTGTAACTTAATTTTTCTTGATAGACCTACTTATAGTAACAACGTAGTAAGAGATTATTGGTAGTTTGATGAACAAAAGAATTTGTATAATATTTATTGTCTAGTTTTACTCCCACAGTCTGAAACAAAGATTAACGCACTGGATTTGTTTTTAATTAAATATTTAATTATGTTATTTTACATGGAATTTATAGAGTAAGAAATGCTCCCCAAATGGTTTCAACATAGACAACAGCACCTTACGTACCTCTGACAGGTCACAGGTTCGTTAAAAATGTTGAAGCCAAAACAACATTGAAATCACCTCTAAGTTTTGGATCAAAGATTTAGCAGGACACAAAGATCTTCAAATTTCGGATGGATTAACGGTCAATGTACACTAAAGTTATCAAATGATGCTAAACTCAGTTATTATTTTTGTTGCTTTATGCTCCTCTCCCCCCTCCTTTTTTTCCTTCCATTTTTCTTGTCTGTTACGGACATGTGATATGTGTGAAAAACACATACAATATGCAGGATAAATTTTTGGATTATGTCCGTATTTGCAAATCTGTATTGTTGGAAATAAAAGAAAACAATAGACCTCAACGTACCATCATTTTTGTCAAACTTGTCCCAGCTTTCATCCCAATCAGCAGCTCCTTCTTGCATGCCAGGTTGCCAACCTTTAAAAGGAAAAAAAAATTTAAAAAAGACAACAGGCATAAAATAAAATAAAATAAAGCTAAATAAGTGAGCTCACTTATCCCATTATTGCTATAATGCATCAAAACGCAAATATATAAGACAATAAATAGAACTAAGAAAACAAAAGAATCAATCTTCAAAGCCTTTTTGAGTTCAGCATCACAAGTTTAGACAATCCCAACCAATCTAATAGGATCCTAGATTGTGTGAGTTGCAGTTAGGTGGAGTAGTACTTGGTTTCTGTTAGAACTAAGCAGATAGTATCCTATTGAATTACAAATAAATCAATGAAAATCTGTAAAACATATAGTTTAGAAAATAATGTATGGATGTGGCTTAACTCGTAGATTTACTTAACATGGTAGTAATTTTGAAACAAAAACCTCACAGGAAATTTTACACTTAAAAGTTTCTTAATAAAAAACAGAGTCACGGGGTTTCAAAAATTTTCTCATCTTAGAATTTCATAAAATTCGCATGCTCTCATCATTTACCTTTTAACATTCAACTGAGATGGAGCTACATGGGTTGATGTAAAATATAAAATAATATGAATAGCCAATCATCCATTGACATCACTATTTGATAGTAAAATCGCATAGTGGGAGACATGACAAATTTATGTGAAAGAAAGTTCCCGATTGTTGTGTCATGGAAAGTTTAAAACCTCATAGCCACTGGAATGGAGTAACCAACAAAAAATGATAAATGGTTCCACAATACAACTTAATTTCTCCCCAACAATTCTGAACAAAATAAAAAAAAAAGGAAGTCCTTGCCTAATGTATCGGTTTAGGTAAATTTTTATATTATGGTTTCCAACAAATTCAATGTACAGCTTTAATATGATCCAAAGTGCAAATAACCGTTAGTCCCATCAAATTTAATCACAATTGAGAATTGCCTGAATTTCAGCATCAGAAAGTTAAGTAGCGAGAAAACTTACAAAAACAAGAAGGGAAAACAAAATTTCCAAGTCAATCTGTACATATAAAAATAGGGGCAATTGCATATATTATGATACATACCACCCAATTCCTATGAATTAATATAATTAACACCTGAACTTTACACTTTACATTTAAAACACTCAAATCTTTCATAGCACATCAAAATTACCACCTTTTCATGCATAGGTTAAGTGCTATAAACGTAAAAAATTAAAGTTCTAAGTGTTAGATATGTAAATAGATAAGAATTAGGCGGTTTGTATGTAAATCTTCCCTAAAAAAAATATTTGCATAACACCAATTAGATCTCTCATGTCAATGAAAATCAATCTAACTCTAAAGCGAATCACACCAAAGGGAAGTTCAACTAGTGAAGTGGGCTTCGAACGTAAGCCATTATCCTTACACCTCTCATTCAAAGCTTTCACCAGTTCATCCAGATCATTTTGAATTTTCTCAGCACGTTCCTGGAAATTTGCAGAGCAAAAAATTGCAACTAGCTTTCGGTAGGTGAGAAAAATAAATAATTGTGACATAAAAGCATCTCATCAGCTTGCCTGAAGTACACCATCCGAAATTTCACCTTCTTCCATTTTCACAATTGCTTTATATAACTCCATCTTTCTCTCCTAAAGAAATATGAATTGAATCCAGAAAGCAAACCAAGATTATGAGAAAAAAAAAATTTGAATATTGGATAACTTCCTTGAACAAGTTGGCAGTATGGGCTACCTGAATATCCCGAAAGGTAGCCTGATCCAGACTCAGCTTAGAAGCAACATCGCCAGTCTGCTTATACTTTTCCTCGTACTTTTTTGCCAAGAGCTCAACCTGAGACCAAATTTGGTCATTTCATCTTACAATAACAGATACAAAAATGATGTTTATTAGCTTGCAAATCAAACTGTTAGATTTGAAATAAGCCGAATTAATTCAAAGTAAAGAAGGCTGATATTCTGTATGGACTCTGAAACCATGAACTATTACAAACCAAAGACATGTCAGATAGGGTTTTCAAATTAATTCTAAGAAACTTTTCATGTCATATTGGGTTGTATTCGGTTCACTGAGTCCAATTAAAGTTGACATTTTCAACCATTTAATGAAAGGGGTTGAATCTAAGCTTCCTCAAATCATATTTGGGGTCACAAAATGAACTCAAAACATGAACTACTTACTAAGTGGGATGTCTGAGTCCCCAAGCATGGAAAGCCTCCTTGTCCTTCAGTGATGAATTAATATCATGCATGCCAAAAATAAGTTGGCATTTCTATGCTCTAATTAACAATGTTTACCACAAAATTGGGATCGATAAGACTAAATCAATCGTCCATCAGGCTGATTAGGTAAATTAAAACTCTAATTTTATGAATTATGACTTGATAAACTACGCTTAATTGGTCATGGTTTAATGAACAAAGTTAAGGGCCATAATAATTAAAGTTGTTTTTAAATTGGCACAGCTAAAAGCACTATAGTTTAATTGAAGTCATATCCCTAAAATTTGGTTTATTTAGCTCTCTGAATTAAATTGAACGCTCAGTTAACACTACAAATAAGCTTAACTAATAAAATGTTGTCCATGAGGTTGTGCCAGAAATTATTTAACGCAAAAAGAATAAAAATGATTTAATGGGTCGAATCTGAATTATAACTAAGATGTGCTGTCTCTGAAAATTTTCACGCCTCAGACTCTCTTTTTTGTCAGGGTCAAATTTTCAGAAGGTAGATTGAATTGTAGATAGGACACTACCAAGAAATTTCGTTCTCATTTTACGAGGATTTTAAGATTTGAGGTTTGAAATTTCCCATAGGCACAAGCCACTATGGTTAATCACCTCTCCTGATAACGGAAGAGCACTTCCGATTAAGGCTAGTCATTAAACACTAAATATTTAACATATAGTAGCATCATAAATGATTTTAAGCTGTAAAATTTATCATCTGGAGCATAAAGCAGATGGTGGGGGGAATGATGAGAAACCCAATCAAGTTCTTATGACTCCGCCATCCCGGGTCATCATGGTCCATGATCTACTTAGTCAGAAGGGTTAGTCGACCCAATCTGACTAAAGAATCCTTGTTAGCATTGGTTGTGTCATTCAATAGATCCTTGATCTGGGGTAGATATTTGCCTAAGAGGACAAAGTTAAGTCGACCTTACTGACAAAATTTTTAATATTAATCAATTGTACTCTTATCGTTCACAACTTAAAGAGTAGAAAGTTGTTCGGGAACATGCAAGATGCAACTGTGACAGTAATTTAATGGTGTCACTTGGTGGCAACCACACTGTTAGAGAATTCTGGTTGTAATCGCTACTTTTGTGAGAACTTTGGGTCAAACAACACAGACAGAGGATAACACGGCTTTACTGACATGAAATTACTTTGAATGTGAATATAATAACAAACTTGATATGCATTCGCACTTTATAAGTTGAAGTCAATAAAATATTTATCACTCCAATAAACTCTTGTGGAGGATAGATGTGGTTTGCTCAACAAACTCTTGTGAAGGAAGAATGTGATTTGCTTTAAGTTTTTTAACTGATTAATTTTTAAACCCGTTTAACATTCCTAAGCTATTCATTAAAGTATTTCAAATTTTAGTTGGAGCCCATGCAAGTGTATATGATGATTTACATGCATTTTGATGCAACAAATTTTCTAAAATATTTGCACATTTTAATTCAATGTATCAAATTTAGAAAATGTCTTAAAATGTAAATGCAAGCTTTGATATTGTTAAACCTTACTCATCGCAGTAATGCTTCGTTATTAAATGCATGTATCTTAAAAGGATTGCACAAATTTTGGGATATTTATAATCAAATCGAGCACTATCTTTAAGACTTATAAACTCAAAAAACCACTTAAACATAAAGTTTATGTGAATGCCATAGCCATGACTTTATGCTACACATAAATCTTTGTTTTGAGCATCTTACCGCCTTCTTTTTGCTAGCAAATGTATTGCGAAATAGGTGGAGATTTAATTTCAAGCAAATCTAGCATTTCAAAGTAGTACATTTTAATTTTGATTCAAACTTATTCTTCTGAATTTTGATATTTTAATTTTAGATTAAGCTAAGCTCCCAAAATATGTTAAGCACAAATATTTAACATTTCAGTCAATTTTAATAACTTCAAATGATTCAAACCAAAGAGTTTGAATTTGAAAAACCCAAAGTTTTAAAAGTCCAAATTTAAATTATTTTTAAGCAATAACAGTAAATTTTAAAATTCCATATTCAAATTTATTTCAAGTTGAAGTGATGCATACTATAAATTATTTTACAAGTTCGAATAGTCCAAAAACTTTTTATTTGCAAGTTCGAGTCAACCAAAAATTTGGTAGCCTCCCAATGTCAACCCCTGTTAGGGGGACACGAAAGAATATCAACTGTCTTAAAAGACCCGTTGGTCAGTGTCATGAGATACTGCGACCATAAAGCAAAAATATATTTTTCAACTCATGGTCTTAAAAAACGTTATAAACCTTCAATGTATCTGCAAAAATATTGAATCATACGCAAACATTTCCCCAAAAAGAAACTTTACTTTTCCTGACGATAATTAATTCTCTAGACAAATACTCACATTTCCTAGGATGGGCATTTGAAGATAATTAATTCTCTGGACAAATACTCACATTTCCTAGGATGGGCATTTGAATCCCCTGGCTCTTATAAAAAATGTCCAAACAAGTCCGTGATTTCCCTGAATGATGTTTAATTCCCAACTATAGGTACTTGAGCTTCCTCATAAGAACTTTTTAGAAAAATTCACCCCCAACCCCATGTTGGTATACCTTTGCGAGAGAGAAAGCAAAGACAGTGATGATCAACAAAAAAAAAAAAAAAAATCATCTAATTTTCTGATTTTTCATCTAATTTTCTGGTTTTTTTAAAATACAATATAAACAATAAAACCCAAAAGATAAAGCAGGGGAGGGGCTCGGTCTTAATTTTGGCTGTAGGATTCAGTTCGGGTTCGATGACAAATGGGTCGCTCGGTTTAGGGCACATTCATGAGTGGCTTGCATGCAAAATCAGAGGGGAAGAGCGAGGATTTTGATGATTTGAGGAGGTGTTGGCGTAGAAGTGGGTGGCTGACTTGTGAGCAGCTCGGAGGCGGGTTGGGATAGAAACAAAGCAAGATAATTTGGTTTAAGGGCAGAGCGGTAGCAAGCTCTATTACTGCAAGCTTTTCGAACAGGTAGGAATAGGAGAGCGAAACAAGCGGAGAGTAGCAGGAGAGTGGTTGTGGATTGGATCGAGAGACACACGGCAATGAGGAAGCGGCATGATGAGTTTCGGTGGTCTCGTGAGTAGTGATTCTATAACTGCCTTTTCTGGCTAGCCTTGAACGCGACTATATCGAGGCTTCATCTGGAGCGGGGAAGGAGACGAGCAGGACAAGGCTCAACCCTGTGCGTGCGACTGGAGAGAAGCAACAAGATTCATTGCTGGTTCAGATGAAGGAAGAAGACGAAGCGGACGAAGCAACGAGCACAGTAGAAGGCTTCGTACGTTTCCAACAGAGGAGGGAAATGGTAAACAACATTGGAGACACAAGGGATGCAATTCGAAGTGCGGTCGAGACGTGGAAGATTTGGGGACTTCGGCTTCTTCGTGTGTCTAGAGCTTCACAAATGGATGGGAAGACAACGAAGAGGTTTCGAACGGAAAAATGAAGGGGTTTTGTGGGAGGTTTAATAGGGAAGAGGTTTCTGCTTGTTCTCTTCGCATGATCGGGAGAAATCCAAAACGGAATGGCTCGAATGAAGAAGAAGAGGTAAGTCTACTGCTTCGTCTGGTTTCTAGAATGAATAGTGGTGGGCTCAATTACGTGTGTATGAGGGACCAAAAGTTTGTCATGTGAAAAGAAAGAGGAAAATGGAAAACTCAATGCGAACAGTTATGGGCATCTAGCCAGAGTGAGAGCTAGAGTAAGAATGAATTAATATAAATTAAATTTAATTAACATAATTAATAAATATTATTTGAATTTAATTAACCTAATTAATAAAATTAATAACTTTTAAACATTTTGAATATCAAAAGGGTGTTGATTCAAGTCCAGGTTTGACCTAACTCAAACCTACATGACCTAAACTAGCTCTTGCAACAACTCCTTGGCATGCAACTAAATGTGAATCATCGAAGATCACCAAACTTTGATCCAATGTAGCTGAAGAACTAGTTATGCATTAAAGAGTTGTTCATTTTTTTCCCTAACTAAGAGTTCGTTTGGGGAAGCATTTTTCTCGCGGCGCGGCCCACAACCATGAAGCGGTGCTCGAAATTACCATTTGGATATTGCGTTCGCGGCCACCCGCCGCTAAAATAGGCGAAACACGAGCCGCGGGATCAACCCCGCAGCCTCGTGTTGTGGAATAGCTTTTCTTCCTTTGCCTTGCGCCTCTACTCTCTCGCGATCAAGCCTTTGCTGAAGATCGAGCCTCCGCCATAGCTTCTTCGATTTCTGTGAGAAGACTTCCCAGATTGATATTGTATTTTCTCTTATTTGAGGCGGTCGATAAATCCTAGAGGAGGAATCAGAAGCTTCTTCAATGGAGATCTCGTCGATGATCGTCTTTGCCTCGTCCTGCTCACTATCACCGTTTCAGACGCAGCGGATTGTTGGGTCTCGGATCGGAGTTAGCTTCCTTAGTTCAACCATTAAACCTCCAACATTTGAACGACATCAATCCAAACAACACTTAGGCTTCGTTCGATCTCAGGTTTCATTAGCTTCGAACTTTCACCTTTTACCTAAAATTGTTTTTTTATCGGAGGAAAAAATTTCGTATTTGGAAATGCGTGCTTAGTGTTATGAACATTTAAACATGGTGCGGATGAGATTTTTAGCTTAATTTCTCAATGGATCTGTGGTGGCTTTCTATCTAAATTAAGGACATCTTTAAGTACTTTATGATTTACGGAAAGTAAATTCCTTTGATTTTACATCAATATGGAAGTTGAGAGACCTAGATATTTGATTTAAGAAGTTGCAAACTACCTCATTAAACCATATTTCTTAATTGGTTGTGACTCTTCTATGGTTCAAATTCGCTTTTTTTTTCTTTGTTTAGAGCCCGACAATGTTCTCCTTCAGAGTAAGGCCTTTCAAGCTAATCAAAGGTAAGGGGAGCATTTTTATTTAAGGAAAATTAAAATTCCACCCACTTTGCTGTAAAATTATGTGGCTACATTAAAGACTGAAATTAAAAGAAAGATGAAAAAAAGAAGAATAGAAGAGGAAGGTAATGGGGGTTCGATCATAAGAATTGTTTCAGCAAGAAGAGGAAAGAGGCATATGAGATGTTACCATTAGCATCTGAAGGCCGAACAGGGCATTGATGCACGAATTCTTAAATACTGATTAGATTCCAAGTTGTTGTTCATATTTCTATCTTTTTCCCGGCCTCTAATCCTTTCTTCTTCAGCCCTTGCTGGAAAAGTTTTGTGAACTCTTGCTTTGGCTTTGGGTGTGAGTGTTTAGTGTTTGTATTTATTTGAGTGGGAGATGAAAAGTTTGATGAAGAACATGGGCTAAAAATAAAGATTATGTGATTATTTATTTATTTTCAGAAACTCCAAATATTTGCTACAAATTATATGACCTTATAAAGCTTTGTACTATTTGGTAGTTTTTTCTCCTCCAGAGTCACAATATCACATTAATTACTAGAGGATATCGTTTGATCTTTGAAGAACGATTCAAAATGGATTTGTCTTAACCAGGTTGTTTGACTGAGAAGTGGATGTGATTGATTAATTTTTGATTTACCCGCTATATGAATAACACTACATAGACATTCATCCTTCTTTTCTAGAGTATTTGTACTTTAGGGCTAAGAAAGTTATTTTTGTTTCCAAGTTTCAAAAGAATCAACAAACAATTAATTTTGAACGTCGATAACACAAAAGAATGATTGAGAACTGCAGGGAGAAATACTCTTACCTATGAAGCGAGGCGTGTATCTGTAATTTTGTACTGTTTGTGGATTTTTTGTTTTAAATGTATTAAATTTATGATTACCACAGTTTTGTTAAGCACAATATTATTAAACAGGGACAGAATTGTTATTTTTTCAGAAACAGCTGCTCCAAAGCTGTTTTCACACAGCTCCCCAAACAGACAGTCAGCTTCCCCACAGCAGCTTCCTGGAGCAGCGAAATTGCAGCTAAGAAGCTGAAAAGCTGCAGCTGCGCCAACATATCCTAAATTGAGGATGGCACATCAGTAATCATTGGTCTGTCATATTAATTATTAAAGAGTCATTGATCTTTGGTTTAATTAAAGTGGAAATAAATTGTCATTGATCTTCAATTCGACATAAGAACCCTCTTCTCTCCATTGATTTGTATTTAACTAATGAGAGTGATTGCTCAAATGTTAAGAGCTATGAAAGATTAAAGTCACAAGTGAATTGTCAAAGAGCCATCAACTTTTAATCTAACTAAATCGGGGACCGTGTGTTGTCAATTTGTGGTCTAATTGGTCTTTGAAGATAACCCCTTTATTGTTGATCTTTAGGCTAGCATGACGCCCCTCCTTTTTCAGTTGATAATTTGTCAAAATAAATTTTGGGATTGCTACTTCGCCAAAAACTATGCATGATCAAAATAATGCTAGTAGAGAATTGAAGAGCTATTGATCTTTAGTTCATATAAATTGAAGACCCTACATCATCAATCCTTAGCCCAATTGGACTTCGATGACTATATCATATATCTTTTGTCCAACACAAGGTCCTTCCTCATTAAACCTTAAGTCAAGATGAAGGAAGCCATTGTTTGTAAACCAATGACCATACATCATCTAAATATCAAATTGAGCTTAAGAAGCCTCCTTAATTAATAATATTTTCCCATAAGATAAAGGGCAATTACCATGGTGCTTGTGTCCAAGAGAATTCTCGATCACAAATCTAAATAAAACTCCCCCACCCCATCCCACCCCAAAAAGAAAAACAAAAACAGCAAAAACTTAAGAAAATCTTATCTACCTCATGAAAAATTACAAATTGGCTTTCATCTACCCATCAGGAAGACACTCAAGGAAAATGTTGGTTTTTCTTGACCAATTAAGTAAACTGTCAAATTTAAAACAGAAATGTAGAGTTCAAAAACCAAAATATTTAGAAGCCACAAACATTTGTCCAAATCGTCATTGTTATTGTCCTAATCATCATCATTGTCAATCTTAACCAAAATATTTGGGCTTGACAATGAATCCTCAATCATCAAGTGCTTTCAAGTCTTCTTAAGAAGTTAAATCTCTTTTGCATGTGTATTTTTACACTAGTTCTACTCATGTTACAAGCCCTTCTTCCTACTTCAAATTTAATTTTATCCACCCAAATTATTGGACACCTTTTACCCTGTTGGTGTATATGCCTAAATCACCTAAAGGCCCATTTGAAGACTCAAAATCAAAAGATACATTTTACAAAATAACTAGAATTGTCAGATCGATTTACTTGGTTGGAAGTAGTAACACAATTGATTTCAAACTCCATAAACCTTCTTAAAACTATTTTGAATACAATATTTTCAGTGTCACAAATATATTTGATGTAAATAAAGTCACCATTTTATAAGCATTTTTTCAGGCTACAAGCAACCAAAATAAGCCCAAGGCTACGTTTATCCATTTTAAATTAAATGAGTTCTAATCACTAATGTTCAATTAGCCACACATCCATCTTAGAATTCTTACTTCTGCTACATTCAAATTGTGTTGGTGAAAGCTACAAACGGGTACTTTGCATTTCATTTGCATTTGAAGAGAATGCATTTTACTTTAGTCTGACGTGCCATTCAAGAGAAACTCAATTCTAGGCCTCATCCATGTGTTTCCCCATCACCATATCAATTTCTGTAAACCTCATTGTGTAAAATTGTGTCATATATTGTTTAGGATGACCTGAAACTCCATACCAGAAACCAATTCTAGCCCTCACAATTCTAAATAAATAATTGCATACAACAATAGCAACATTCGAATCATCTGGTCTGGTCAAATAAAGCATTACATGCTTCAGCATATGCAGGAAAATTAGTGAAGTGCTAAAATAGCCCCCTGACCATTTACATGGAATTATTTTAGTCACGAAGTCTATAAAAATGCCAAATTAGTCCTCGTACTCTTTTAATATAGGCAGAAATAGTCCTCAAAGAAGACAAGTTTAGCCTCATTAAACAGTTAGGGACTAAATTGACAGACTCTGGGATTAAAACAACCTCTTGTAAAGAGTTAGGGGATCATTTTGACACTTTTTATGACGGAAAATTCATCATATACAACCTCAAACTATTTAAAAAATTAAAAGAGATAAAATAACAGTTGTAAGAGATTGAAGTATGAAATGAGTTCATATAACAAAAGCTACATGAACAATCACATCAATGTGAAACATGCAGTCATCAATGCAGACAAGAAGCATACAGGTTTACACAAACAAATACATAAAAACAAAAACCAAGGAAGCAAAAAAAAAAAAAAAACCGAGTGAAACAAATCAAAGAGGGGAGTATTTAGCGAGCACACCACTAAATCCCACTTACAGCAAAAACACCACTTCAAAAAGTTGGTACATATAACGTTACTATAGCTATCCGTATATTATTTTGATTTGGTCTGGTCGATAAACACAAGCAAGACAACTGTAATTAGCCTTCTCCAAGATGAAACAAATATTAAAAAACTAGAAACCTAACAATGAAAAAAATCCTCCACAGAAAGGATAGAAATCCTCTTCTTAGGATACCTTCCCAATTAATCGAGATGGTTAAGCTCAGATATTATTTTGAAAAGAAATTTAGTATATAAAATACTCGGTGTTGTCCCAGAATATTAAAGATCACGCTTTTACAAACACTTTTTTTATGAATTTTTATGAGTACATCAAGTTGTAAATATTTTAATCACAAACTAGAACTAGCATTCCTGTTTGTTTGGAGAGCCTTCACAAAGAGTAAACTGGATCGACTATAATTGCACAGTTATCAGAAGGATCTATGAAATCATGGTGTTCTGTTTATTGATCATGATTTCTGGTCCACAAAAAGAATGAACCTTGCTCATTGCACCGCTATCCTAAAAACTCTTCTTTGACTTTCTACGCCAAATTGAGTCAAGATTCCACCAGAATAGTAATAAAAAACATCACAAATTAAGCTAATTAAAAAAAAAAGTAAATGACAGGCATGATTAGGTCAAAAAAATGTCTTCCACGACCAAACAAGAAAAAAAACCAAAATCCAGTATAACCTATCCAAATGTTATCTTTGTTGAAACCAGATCTTATTAAAAACCTTAAGAAAATGAAAAATATTCACAATGGTAGCACATAGCATAAACTTCAAAACTCATTTCCGCTTCAAGAATGCTACACTATACTTGAGCATTTGCATTTAGAGCTACTTGGCTTGCAAATTCTGCTCTATGTGACAGTAATTAAAATATAAAAAATACCTTCGAAAGTTAGACCTAGACATTTTTTCTCCGCCAGAATTAATAATACAACATTCACAAAAACATAGGTTAACAGAAAAAAATTACCATTTTTTCAAATAAAATGTTAAAATTAGTAAAATCATGCTGGGTGAAGTAGAAGCTAATCAAAAGGAAAGGAAAAGACAAGGCCGCATAATATGACATTCACTAAACCAATATGAAACAGGAAATATTTGGTAACATCACAAATTATGGTGCATTACCTCACGTTTGTCGGCAGCAGTCCTTTCTATGGTCTCATTTAGTCTGCTGTCACACCTGCTTTTGTAGAGAACCTAAAAAAAATCAGAGGAAAATCTTCTTAAGGTAATGGAATACGCCACATTGGTGTCTGACAGCTATAAAGATAGCAAGAGGCTCAAACTAAAGATGTTAAGAAAATAGGGTCATTTACATAATACCACATAACTGTTGTCTATTTATATATCTAACACTTAGAATATTCATATTTGCATGCATAACAATCAAATCTTTAGTAGCTCTAAATGCGACATCGCTTTATTTTTAAAACTAAAACATGCCATCACTTTCTTTTTAAAACTGAAAACATCTTTTCATGCATAAGTTTATACCAACAAGGTGTTAGAAGTGCAAATATTAATTTTTGGGAGTTAGATATGTAAATACATAAAAATCATGTGATATGTATATAAATTTCCAAATAAAATAATCAGTATGCAAGTATGTCTTTATGTATGAAAATGCATGCACATGACACCAAAGGACGAGTGTTTTTGTATGTTAGTGGTGTACATGTATGCGAGCGTGCTCAGGAGCATGTGTGATTAGACCTTTATAATGTGTGCATGAACATCACAAAAAGAAAATTCCATAACCACACTAGAGATTGCATTTATAGGAATCATTACAAGGCTAGCATCCAATAAAATGAAAAATAAAAGAATAAAACTCTCACATCATAATACAATCAATATGCAAACATAACATTTCAAGATATAGTCAATATTAGGATATCAAGGAGGTCAGTATTGCAAGCATACTCATTTACAGGATGCAGTGCACTCATCGATGTAACGTATGATAGCTATTCTCATATGTTTACAGCAACAACAACAACTACAATAAACCTTTATCCCACTAATGGGGTCATCTACATGAATCATTTTTCTCCATTGCGTCCTATTGAGTGTCATATAAATTGGTTGAAATAATTTGCAGAATAAATTAGCAAGATGAACAATACTGATTTCTTAAGTCAAACTTCCAGGGCTCTAAGATCAACAAGATAGGTTTAGGTCAACCTAAAATATTTACTAATCTTCTATGAAGAAGAGACTAAAAAATTAATATAGGTTTTATGATCGCCAATGAAGTAAAAGAGACCATTAAGTTTCTTCATTTAATTAACACCAAAAAACTAATATTTATTGAATTATTCATTCGTAAGAGCTAGTAATTAGTATCTAATAAAAGAAAAATAAACTAATCGCTACATTACCAACTAGGCATGATTAAGGGTCTACAAATAGTCCGTTTTTACCTAATTAACCACTCATTGCATTTAATATTTAACTAGTTAGATCCCAAACATTTAAAACAAATGATTGCTGAATAGAAGCAAATTTAAAATAATTATCCAAAAAAACACATACTTAGCAGAGAATGGATTCACTTACCACTTTATTACAATTAATATTAGTACTAATCTACTAATCACTTCATTGGTGCCAAACTCACTAAGCCGTCAACCGATAACATCTTGTTAACCACATCAGCAATCTCATATTTCTAGTGTGGTCTAGATCAATTATTCAGTCAGCTATTAATTAAACAAAATGGAAGGAAGGGAGAACTTCAAGCTAGTGATCGTCGCAAACTAAGATCATGATAAACACTCTGCACTACCCAAAAAAATGCAAAGATAAAAAATTGTCTCAAAATTTTTATTCCACAAATTTTATACTACATGAAAAATAATTTATTCGTTTTTTATTATTATTATTTTGTTAAGATCATCTGTTTGTGTGTATGTGTGTGTATAAATATATTAGCTTATAAAAATTATTTACTATTCAAATTATTTAGCATAAATTTTAGTTAATGTTACTATTCATGAATTTAATTAACTATTCACCCAGACCAATGTATAGTCTTTCATTTCATTTGCACTAATCACTGCATGAAACAACCGATTGTCTAATTGGATGGTTTTGAAGTATCGAGGATATAAGACAGTTGGATGGTTGAAGTATCGAGGATATTAAGTTTATATAATATTATAATCTATGCTCATAAAACACCAATGAATTACATGTACTCATATCATATCCAGTCATAATCCCGAGCAACTACACCGTGAGCAGAGAGTAAAAGCTATGGGGAACAAGGGGAAATCATGGAGGCCAGGGCTCAGTTTTGGTGAGGAATTTCCCCTTTTCTTGTATTATCTCTAACGAACCAAATTCACTTTGAGGTTATTTTTTTGAAGAATAAGTTGGGAAATTTTATGGTTTGAGAAATCTATATTTAGTGGATAGAACATAAAAAAACAAGGTTTCAAGGTAACTGATAGAAGTAAGCTTGTCAAGTTTAGATCATAAGTTTGTGTAAGATATCTTATCTCTAACATAGGAAGTAAGCATGCTTTAGTCTATTGTATGTAAATTTTATATGTCTTTAAACTTGTATGGATGCAATACATTAGAAAATCTTTTATTTGCAAAGTGCATATTTATCTTCTATCATTCATGATTAAATGATCACTCAGGAGTTCAAATTATGAAGAGCAAATATTTAAGGAATTATAAGCATGCCAACAAAATAATGTATTTTAAAAGCATATCTAGTAAATACGATTTTGCATATCAATACATAATTTTGATTAAAATCTTCCTGAGGACTTGATATGTGTAATTAAATATTCTATGATGTATAATGCAAAAATCCTGAGAGTTCATATTATATGGGATAAGTTAAAAATATTTATGATAGTTGGAAAAGGCGGGGAAAGAGACTTTATAAGATGAACCTCTAAGAAAGAAAAATGATTATGGACCTCAGTTACTTGGAGTGGTGCAATAACAATATTGATGGGTTACACTTAGAATAATATTAAACTTTGATGTACGCCAATGAGCTGGGTTACAATCTGATGATGATATGTGGTGTGGGTGAGACCCAGACTTTTACCACTGATAGCCAATAAAAATAAACATCCATACATGACATTCTAAAACTGACAAGATGTAATGTAAAATAAAAGAAATAAGGAAATTAATGTTATAATGTGAGTAATGAAATGAATAACTATTAGCATACTTCGCTAGCATTGTGCATAGCATAGTTAAACGCTTAGCATTTCTATAATGATGTTTACAGTTTAATTATCTCACTATTATGCTATGTCCTTATTAACAGCAATTTCATTTCATAATAATTATACGTAATGCCACTAGAATATTTATGATGAAATTTTTAATCCTATCTAGTTCATGATTAGCATATCATATTATCTCCTTTTTTTTTAAAATATGTGAATTCAATACTAAATTTAATTATCTTGTTTAATTTTATAACTCAATAGATTGTTATTTTAGTAGTTGTTTCAGGTAGAGAGATGGGCAAGATTGAGCTTGACTGATAATAAAATTTTGAATTACAACCCTATGGGCCTATCTGGCAACGGATTTAGAGCAGGATTTAACATGGATTTAACCAAAATCTAAACCGACTGTCAGTTTGGACAAAATAAAGCAGCAAATTTGATGAATCTAGATTTCATAGATTTCGACCATAAACCTGGATTTACTAAATTCTGCAAATCATCAGATTTAGTAAATTTGAGACGTGAGCATCGTGCGAAATGGAGGATGTGAGGTTACCTTCTTCCATGGTTTCAAGTCGGAGTGGAGCGAAAGGAGGAGAAAGATGGGAGTTTCGGGCCACTGTGTATCGTGGCCTTCCCGGTTAGCTCAACTGTGACTGTATTGAGAGGGTTCGGCCATGAAGGCAATGGTTTTGGGCGAAATCAGGAGGGGGAGGGACAAGTGAGAGTTTTGGGCGGAGGGGAAGGAGAGATAGATATGTGATTATAATTTATTGTTATTTAAGTTAAATTAATTAATTTAATTGATTATTAATTAATGATTAATTCATATAATAGCAAATTAATTATAATTAAATAAATTTATATGTAATTCAGCAAAGTAATTATAATTAAATAAATTATATGTAATTATTTAAACAATTAATTAATGAATAAAAATATATTTTAAAATTTAAATTATTTAATAACTTATCAATGATTCTTAATTAATATAATTATTAACTAATTAATTAATATTTTACTAATTTTTAAATTATTGCTTAATAAATAATGAATTCAATAAAACTTTTATTAATAATTAATTAGTTTAGCGAATAATTAATTATTAATTAGTAGGATTATAAACATTTTAAATTTAATTTAAATCATAATAATAAAATAATAAAAATTTAATTATGATTTGTTTATTCCAAACAAAAACTATCTATTAAATTTTGGCAGAGGTTGCCAAACAGTTTAATAAAATTTAATTAGATTTATTAAATTTGTTGTCAAACAATTTTCAAGACTTAACCCTTTCATTATTTACTAAATCCAAATTTATTGGATTTACTAAATCCAAATTAAATTTATTGGATTTACTAAATCTAAATCCTAATAATTTAAATCAATTTCGTTGTCATACAACACTTATATGTGAAACTCACGCACATGTTGATGGACAAATGGAGATGGCAAATCTTACACTTAGAAACACGAGTTAATTTGTTTGGGAAACTGAAACAATGGGATGATACCCTCGAACAAATAGAGCTTGCTTTTGACAAAATTCCAAATAGTTTGACCAGAAATATCCCTTTAAAGTTCTAATTGTTAGTCTAATAGAATGGACTTGATCCATCTACATTCTCATAATACCAAACAACCTTATGACTGAGGAGTTTGTTAAGCATCTTCAACAAATTCATCAAGAGATACATCTCGAAGAAGCTAATTCTAATTAGAAGATGGTTGCAGGTCAACAGAAAAAATTTAAATTTTTCAGAGTGTTCGGTTGATGGATCATCTACAAAAAATCACCACCACGTGGGCACAAACAGTAAGCTAAAAGCTAACAAGATTGGCCAACAATGAACATTTCTAATACTTCTAATGTTGTTCATATCTTTAAATATTTCCCTCCGGATGACTGTCCTTGTAGTTACAAAACTCGACTGTGAAGTTACTTCAAGCAAAAAGAATTTATGTAGCATATGGCTGCATGGCTACCTATTAGTTTCAATTTAGTACTTTCCAACAGCTGTACAATTTTTTTTATTTCCTTTCTTTCTGTTATTTTGTTAAGAGTTGTTTAAAATTATAAAAAGAAAGCTCTTTATATTCAATAGATTTTTCCATTTCAAAAGGATATTTAGTTTGCCTTCTTTTTTTTGGATTTTAATTTCCTTGAATCAGTGTTATCTATACGCCAGCTAACCTTAACGAAATTGTAGGTAACCCATTGAATGAAACATAACATGGAAGACCTGTGCTAACTTGATCCCTCATACTCAATATGAAATCTTGCACATTAAACAAAACAATCTTAAATTTCATGCCCTCAAAAGGAAAAAAACAACACCATGAATATACTTGCTAAGCTTGGGCTTCTTTTGAACAGGTGTTTAGGCTCCGCTTCGTTCTACGAATAGCCAATAAAACGCAGAGGCTTCATTTGAGCATTCAGCTTTTCAGAAAATTTTCCCACCACAACAGCATTTCTATCCGTTTTGAATCGTAAATTCGGTGTAGCTTGTCGGCTCCATTCCGATGTTTCATAAATGAAAAGGGCAAAATTACCCTCACGTCGATCGTTCCCTCACTACTTCACCCCGTCCTCCAACAAGCTGCTTCTGCTTTTCGTTTCCGCTGGTTCACCCTCTTCCAAACTATGAAATTCTAGAGAAATCGGTGGGAAGTGAGAATAATAATATCTTCTCCACTATGAAATTCTAGAAAGAGGAGATGGATAGAAATTTCTCTGTTGAAGAGATATCGGGCCCCTTCTAGGCACTGTCTCCTACAAGGATTGATCGAGTATGATGAATCACAGTTTGACAGAGTGGGACATTTCAAGAAATCTTCAGCAAAGGAGAGGGGGATCCGATTCCTTGGGTGACATATGGGTGACAGGGAGGGGATGCTAGTGCGGTTGAGCGGATTGGGATAGCAGCATATAGGATGTGGAGACGATGGATTCTAATTGGAGAAGAACAACGGGTTGTTCCTAGGCGAGTTCAATACTTGCCACCAGATAATAATATTGACGTTAGAATTTAATAAAATAGGATTATTAAAGTCTTTTATAATACAAAAATTGCAAGTAGTATTACTTAAAAGCACGTAATTTTTTTTTATTAAAGCGGTAATATTGACTTTAGCAACCATTACTTTATATCACTGTTTATTCTAAACTTTCTTTTAAAGGAGATTTTTTGAAAGAAGCAGCTCCCCCAACAAGGCCTTATTGTAGTTTAGCAATAATAAAATACGTGCTATTAAAACAGTCACTTTTCATACAATTTTATAAATAATGGAAAGAAGTTTTTTTTAAAGAGAAAAAAAATCACTGCTAATAAACAAGAGCATTTAAGTACAGATTATCTGAACAAGATGAAAAATAAAAAAAAAAACAATAATGCAAACAATAGTAACTCAGTGGTCTTCAGGGCAAGTTCTTGCATCATTTTGCGGTAATTTTCAGTCTTCTGCTTACATTCAAGGATTTCCTTCTCCAATTCTTGAACCTTCAGGTATTATAATGAAATGTGTAAATATAATGTTAAAAGTATTCCTTAAAACTACCAAAGGCAAACAATAAACATTGGATGGTCTAAACAATTTGAACCGGTAGGCAAGAGGATAGCCAGTTTAAAAAGCCCAAAATAACTCAGCAAAATGGTATGGAAGATAAATATATCCAAAGATTCCAGAGTAGGAAGTGCTTCAAAAAACAAAGCATACAAAATACAACAAACATTATACTTCCCATTATTTAACTATTTAACCAAACAAATGGTACGAACAATCTGGTAAACCCCTGAATTCAATTTATCTCGATAAAATAAAAAGATAGTGTGAGTCTAAACCTCCAAGGATGTGCCCCATCTCTTTTTCATAGACAAATTAAGGCGTTTTTACATACATAGCACTTGAAAGTTGGGAATTTACATATTCAGCACCTCAAACTTTACTATTACTAAATCCAAACTTCCATTAATATTTCTGCGAACTTTCCGTCCCAGCACATTCCCGCCGGCAGATCACCGACAGCAGTGAAGCTGCACCGTCTCTCTCCCCTCTTTGGCCGACAGCCTTCCGTGTTCCTGCGCGCCCATCCGGCAAGCTGATATTGGCATGGCACACCTGCTGCCTAGGAATCGGGCACTATAGTGGACTTGAGAGGGGAGTAGATCACTGGTTTTGGATCAGAAGCAGGCAAGGTGGAGGCAAGGTGCTACACATGGTTTCAGGTAAGAGATTGGAGATGGGTTTCCGGCGAAGCAGAGATACCTGTCAATTGGAGCAGTGAACTGTTGTTAGAATAAGGGGGAGAGATGGTAGATGCCTGAGAGGAGTTTTGCATTGCGCAGGGAAGGTTTGCTGAAGTTAAATTGCGGCCAAGAGGGCAGGCCATGGCTCTTGCATGAGGCTGGCATGAGAGGAACTTCGCCGGAGAGGGAGATGAGCACGTGAGACGGAGGATGCAGGTGTGTAAAGAAAACGGAAGACAAATGAAAGTTGAATTTAGAAATATTAAAATTTGAGGTGCTAAATATGTAAATACCAAACTTTCAAGTGAGTGCTATGTATGTAAAAACCCCCAAAAATTAAAGAATGAAGATGAGGTTAACAGTGTTAAGGAATTACAATGGTCTATTCATTAGAAAGTGGCTTTATTAATTCTTTCAGGAAAGGTAAATTAATCATTGTACTTAAAAAGCTACAAGAAAAGCAGAAACAGCTTAAAACATCTAAAGGTGAATTTCTTAACAATCATTGCTAAGCCCCAACTTTAGTATCCAAGGTGAAATTTTCCCTAAAGAAAGGGTAATTCAGCTAACTTATTAATCTGACTTCCTGATGAGTAAATTCAAATTTTAAAATGTGAAACATCAAGTGGTGCAAAGAAAATTAGCGCAGCATCAAGCTAAAAAATTATAGGAATACTCAATAGTTCTAGGAGATCCAATAATCAAGGGGATAACCACGAACATTATTATCAGCTTCAGTTGCCTCCTGTAACTTTAAGTTGAGCGCTTTCTGCTCCTCTTCGCTAAGCTGGTTTACCATGTTTTGTTCCAATACTGGCACTCTTGCTTTTGGTTTCACTGGTGACGCTACATCATCAACCTGAGAAGGGATTGGTGCCCTTGTCGAAGAGTCCATCCTAGAGGGAGGAACAACAGAAAGATGCTCCGGAATTTGCTGTTGAGATAATACTGATAGACAGATAAACCGAAAGCATGTAAATGAAGCTCCAATCAATAGTAACAATAGCAGCATTAACTAAAAGGAAAATGAAGGATTTACATAAATACCACTCAATTTCTATGTATTTACATATCTAACAACTAAATTTCAATTTTTACGTATATGCCAACTTATCTGTGTATAAAAAGGTATATTTCACTTTTTAAAAGTTAAAATAGTGCTATTTTTTATATGATATGAAATATTTGGGTGAAATAAACATAAAGAGCAAAGTTTAAGGGTTAGATATGTATATACATGAAAATAGTGTGTTATGAATATAAATGCTCCAAAGAAAAATACACGGTTACTGATCTAAGAAAGCAAAGCAAAGTAATAGTTCAAATTTTAGAAAAATAAAAAAATACCAATGGTAAGTACAAGAACTACCAGGCCTCGGCTGCTGCCAAGCTGAAGTGCCATATGCAGAGGATGGCTGCCCTGTTGCGAGAATTAAAGTTTGATCGAACTTTACACTATTAGGAAGAACAGATGGAAGAGGACGGCCCTCTCTATAGCGCTCCATCAAATAAAGAGCAACACAAAACTCCCTTAATGAAAGCATACTATCATTATCCTGGTCTGATAAGTCCCACACTTGCCTCAGGATATCTAGCGCCGTTGAAAAAGAAACAAAGTCAACATCTTTAGATAGAAATTGCATATATATATAACCTGAAAGAACAAATTTTGATTCCAACTTCATGCTAATACATTAATCATTTTTGAATAATGCAGTTCGTAGGGGCATAAAAAGTTTCGACATAATTCAAATAGGTATTATGAATTCTTTAAAGTCAACCTCTAGGTAGTTTCCAGCTTAAAAACAGGTTCTTAGCCTCTGTGCCTGTAATTTTACCATCCCTGTCCTTGTCAACTTCCAAAAATACTTTAGTATACTTCCGAATGTCAGACTGAGTAATTTTTTGCCATGGAGCTTCATTTTGAGTAGAAACACTGCTAACAGGGCCACTTGGAACACTCTGAACAGGCAAGGCCGAAGTGCTCTGTATTGTCTCGGGCTGATTTTGTTTAATAGGGGATTGAGTCCTCTGAAACTGATTTGCAACTGGGGGAAGGCCTGTCATGACTTGAAGATTAACATGCTGACCCAAATTTACAGAATTTTTAGGATCTAAGATAGCAGAATTAGGTGAGTTTGAGAAACTGCTTGTAAAGGAGACAGGCATTGAAGCATCCTGCTTAGTCTGCGCTGCTGAAAACACATCACCTCCAAAACTTGAATTGGAAGAAAAACCATTTCCAGAAACACCCAAAGCGTTTGAATCCATGGAAGAGGTTTGGAAGGAGGCAGACACAGGAACAAGTGGCTTTGCAGTGATTGAAGAAGAGATTACATGTTGTATTTGGGGTTTAGAAGTTGCTTCCTGATTTGAATGTGCTGTGACAAAACCATCTTTATCTGCAATAGGAACATGGTTGGGAACTTGAAAATTAACTGTTCCTTGAGACCCACCGCTCTTACCTGATATCCAATCAGTAGATAAGGACGAGAAGTTTGAACTTGAAGGACCAGTACTTATAGCAAGGATTCCTTGACTCAATCCCTGCACTTGAGGTGGCCTCATGAAATGGTTCTGCTGATCGGGGGAACTCTGGTAGTTTACACCTGTGGTTATGGGAACAAAGTCAGTATTTTGAGAAGCTGGCGGCCTCATAAAGGTTGCTTGGGTTGTGGAAGTGACTGTGGAATTTATCTGAGAAGGAGGCCTCATAAAGCCAGATTGAGGGGGCTGTTGCATCAAGCTATTTGCTTGGGGTGAGAACGTATGCATGGAATTCATCTGAGGAGGCCTCATAGAAAATTGTGGCGATGGTGCAGCAGTGATTGGAGGAGGAGGTCGCATAAAGCCTGCTGAAGCAGACTGTGGTAATATGTTACTTGTTTGAGGTGCAGGAACAGCCATGGAATTCATCTCAGAAGTATGTGGCCTCGTAAAACCAGTCTGAGTAGGCTGTGCTAATATTTGATTTGCTTGGGGTGATGTAGGATTTATCTTTGGAGCTGGAATTTTAGCTGCAGCTGGACCATATAAAGCTGCCTTCACAATATCAGCTGTAAGTTGCCTTCCACTTTGAGCGACTGTCACAAGTCTTAACGCATTGTAGAACTCCGAACGCCCCAAAGAACTGTTTCCTCCAGCAGCATAGGACCATACCTGAGACCACTCAACAGTAATTAGAAGAAAAAAAGGCTGGAGAAATTAAGAAAGTTCATTCCGGTATTAATCATGGCAGATTAATCATTGATTTCAGTGACATGATATTTAAATCCGAACATTCAGCATACAGAATTCGATGCTCCTAAAAGTGTCTCTATAATTAAGAATGAAACGGATCTATAATAATTCAACTAAACAGATAGCAAAATCACAGATCCAAACAATATTCCATTTGAAAGCATTCCCCCAAAATCAACATCCAATCAATCAACTAGATACCGGAACTTCAAAAGAAACCAAAACAATTAAAAAGAAAAATGAAAATCTAAGAAATGACAGTTGAAAAAAAGGTACAGAACCAGAGCAAGGGTTTCTTTGGGTAAGTTGGATCCTTGGAAGAAAGCGACCGCCTCTGCTCCGCTGATCCTTCCATCCTGGTCCAAATCAGCTCTCCTGAAGTAGCTATCGAAGGCGTCCGCGTTTGGAGGCTGGCCCTGCTCCGCCGCCATACAAGTTTGATCGGAATGTGAGATCGCTAGAAACCCCGCCCTCCAGCAGTCGAAAGGAAGCAGAACTGATGCAGGATCCCGACTAGTTCGCCGAGTTTCTGTAACTTTCGAGCAAGATTCACCGCCGGAAGCGATAAGTGAGAGATGAATTTCTCCGTGCGAAGCTGAGGGCACCCAATCGCCAGTTATGCTCCGTCAAGACTGGCATGTGAGAAGCTCCTCGGTGCCGATTTTCGAAGCTCCCAATTCATTTCCTCTTCGTCGATCGATAGCTGTAGCGAAAGGAAAAGCGGAAGTCTGGAAAATGACGAGATTTGGGATTACGAGTTGCAAAGTTGTCAAGAAAACTCCTGGCTACATATTTTGCTGAAAATTATAACTAATTTTTAGATTTTGTTAGTATTTCTTATGCTACTATTTTTTTTTTTAAATAGCATATATAGATATAT